AGGATGCTTCTTCGCTTCGCAGCTATTACCGGAGCCGCGTCAACCCCAGTGGCCCAGAGCCATCAGTGATACCAAAGTCAGTGATACCTCGGGCAGCCTGCGAGCAAGGATCGCGTTGGTCGAATGTCGCCTTCGACCTACGTGACGTTGGGCTGCCGGTGGTGGCAACTGGCGCTGAGATTTTTGTCAATGGCAAATTGTGCACCAAGTTGGACCCAGGCCTGCAAAAGAACCACCTCTCTATGCCAATGACCTGTACCAATGAGGGGTATTCAGGGTGGACCACGAAGACGTGTCCTACCTATGGAATCGACTCGCGGCATTGCAGCGGGTCTTTGCAGCACTGGGTTCCACAAAACCGTTGTCAACAGACCTGCTGGGATCGCGGTTATCCCTATGATAGGGATGACTGCTCAGTTGGGTGGCCTAGTTTCATAATGACAGGATATGTCTGTGCAGTAGATGAGGCAGCATCTGTTGGTGGCCTGGTCTTCTTCTCAACTTCCCAAGACTGTCAAAGTCTTGTGCCCATGAGAATCCCTGCCATTTGGCTCGATGGATTGAGTGACACTGACTTCTCTCGATTTGACTTCGTTCGTCCTCATATCATCGTTCTAGCATCAAGCCCAACAAGTTGCACGTATGGTGATTGGATCCAAGTCAATGGCAGTGCATACCGACATGATCCTAGGCTCAAGCTTGTAGATGCGACCAGTGCAGAGCAAGAGACGTGCGTGGCTGTGCCAAGCAGCATGTTCAACCTTGAGCAGTGCAAAGTCCAGACAGACAGACTCTGCGAAGTGTCCCGAGCCACATCGAACACAGTGAATCTGACGGCTGATGTCCTGGAACGAATCTCGTCCTATGGGCGCTACGTGTTTGAAATAGCTGGTCTACAAACGAGTGCGAGTCCCTGTTCAACATTGTCGCGCTGGAAAGAATGCACCAGCTGTACCACATCTGCCCTCAGCACCGCAGACAAGAGCCTCATTGTCAGTGCCCTGGAATCTTCGGAAGGCTCACTGAGAGATGTTTATGTGCCCTGCACTTCAGTCTCTGCAAATGCCGTGGTGAGTTTGTCAAATGGTGAACTCTTCCAACACGTGCACATCCATGAGGGGAACATCTACGACTTTACAGATTGGGCTTTAGAGCATCCTGGTGGCCAAAATGCGATAACCAAGTGGACCACGAATGGTTTCAAGCTGCAATATCCTGCCAGCCACCCAATGGATCGCTTTCAGACTCATCTCTCAAAGCTTCAGTACATCGGCAAGAGCGGTGAGCAGATTCGACTCTTGACTATCAATTTTCTCAACGAGCTATCTCACCCTTTGCTTTGTAAGTGCTTGGCATTTTCACATTTTGTCTCGACCCATGCATGCCCTACTCATGATGTGGGCAGTCATAGGACCTCCCACTGCTTAAACCTTCAGCTTCATATGGGCTACAGCTAGGTTTATTGTGCCTCACTTTCGTTCGTTGGCCTTCGGTCTCACTCTTCGCACTTTTCTCACTCACTCTTGTTTTGAAAGGCTCGCACCTTCTCAAAATAGAAGGAAGACTTACACAGTTGGGATGGAAACGTGATACTCAATACTTTGATTGGACTTGTGCCTCACTGAGATTTATTATATAGCTGCTTTGCCAAGCATTGAGCCTAACAATCAAGGGGGATGTTTTTGTCAATGCTGTCTCGTGTTGAGCTGGTTTAGTAAACGACTCCACCGAGCTTTTCCACCCCCTGCTTTGGGAGGCGTTACACTGCATGGCTGCACATGTCATCTCAACTCAGTTCATCTCGCTGCATTTTGGCCATGTGAGCTCAACAAGCATGAGCAAACCAACTCATCATCACACCTGAATTCTGATGCCTCATTCTGCTTTTGTTTGGTCCGTCGTTCATCTCGCACCTGCTCTGGTTTGATTTTGAGAGTGTCATCAACGCACACGCTCACAATTCATTCTATAGCTCCTCTTTCGACATCGTAATTGTTTGGACCTTGGCGGGGAGACTCGACTCATTCACGTTCTTTGGCCGTGAATCCATGTGAAACTTTCAGGATATCACAGTTTACCTACAACCTTGAAGAGAGAGGCTTTGGCACTGGAACTTGCCAATGCCGCGGTGAAGTCCTTTTCATTGGCATGTCCATCCCCAGGGGAAACGGCTAGTGTGCCACGCTTGGGGCATGACGCTCACTTTTATTCGCACCTTGGGTGAGAGAAAAACGCCAACACTTTGCATTTTCCAAGTTGTTCAAGCTCGCTTTTAGTGTTTGGGTTCAACCGCATGCGTGAGTGCACTAAGGGCCTACCGCTTCAACGGCCCCCGAGAGATAGATGAGGAATTCGACTTCCCATCTAAGTTGAGCAAGTCGCTCACCAAGTTCAACATGTGGATTGGTCAGGTGTAGGGCTTAGCACAGCTTCCGTTTGTGTGTGTGCCCCTTGTAGTCACAGGGATCCGTTCGGATTGTGTTTTCCTTTCTTTTTAGTGAGCAGGGGGCTCGTGGACGCATGGATGGCACGAGCCAACGAAGACCCATCCATGTCGTCGTGATACCAGACCTGATCAGCCTGGCGTACCTGCAGCTTTACTTGAGATACTTCATCATGGGCCTGCTTCTAACTAGAACAAGATGTCCAGCCCTTCCACCGGTTTGATGTCCAACCCTTGCACCGGTTTGCTCTTGGCGGTCACGTATAGGGTTTTGGTTACGCAATGGTCGACGTCACTTCGACCTGTTCGACGTTCTCGACTTGAGCTTTTGGCCTCACTTCTGTTTGAAGACCCCTCAAGCCCTCCTTTAGGTTTTACCTGTGCCCTTAGGAAATGGTAACCTAGGCCGGCGTGTGGCACCGCTTTCAGTTCAGTACGCAGAATCATATGTGTGTGTGTGTGTCAAACCCCGTTCCAAGGGACTAACCTATCTTACTCTATTTTTGCTCTACTTTGCTCTATCTGTACAGCTGCAAGGGGCATGGCGGCCGTTCAACCTAAGTATGGCAAAAGCTGTCCAATACGTTGTTTCTGCATTCCGTCTTGCTGCAGTAAAGGGCTAGTGCATCGGCGATTCACTTTGGAACTTCCGTGAGCTTAGGACCTGAACTTGAACTTGCCTTTGGAGGCCTCCGGCCTTGGAGGTTTTTGCATTCACCGTTTTTGGAAATACCGTTTTTCACTTACCTGGTCTCTTAGGTTTTCACTCAGGCTGGCGTGTGGCAAACCGCAACCAAATCTGTATGCATTTCTATAAGTCGTATAAGTGTTTGATGAAGTATTGAATTCCAAATTCGTGCCTTTACGTGACCGCAGCGGTCAAAGCAGCCAGCCACTTTGGCAGGGCACAAGGTGACCATAGCGGTCAAAGTACTTTTGAGGTTCGTTGGAACCTGTTGGAGCCTTAGCGCTTTAGAGTGATGAGTTCCTCCCCACCTAATCCCGTTCCACCCGCCATGTCCCCTGCTGGCTTGGCGCCGATGGAGGGCATCTCTATGGTGGCTCAAGCTGTACTACATCGTGAGATTCTTCATGTACATGCCTCTTTGGACCTCATCCTCACGATTCTTCGTACCCGCTTGGCGATACTTTCCCCTCCCTTTTTGGAGCGAGTTACCTGTCCCCACCTTCAGGTACAACTTCGCGGTTTGGATGCCACCATCCGACAGGCGATGCAAGTCACCCACACCGCCTTGCACTATACTCATGAGTTGAGGACCACCTTTGGTTTGATCCATACCTTGGATTTTGACACGAATCAATTGGAAGCTGAACTACGTGGTTTCACTTCTTTTCGAGATCATATCGGTGTTTCCCCCTTCGACCATGATTTCATCCCCTGGACTACGTGTTCCCGAACCTTTGACTCAGCTAATCCCTACAGATTGTCGTGAAGTTTGGCAACCTTTCAAGACCTTCAATCAAGTCCCCCACCTCTCCACTGTTCGTTTCGAGCTGGACATCAGTCTCCTGGCCTACCAACTACCAACCTTTGAATTATATACATCACGGTGACCTTGTCCACGACTCAGATCGAAACCAAGGAGTACACGGTTGACGACCTCAAGGACGTGATTTTTTCACGTTTGGGACAACAACGTGCTTCCTTTTGGGTGGCCCTTCCGTCTACTAGAGATTCTCTCGGGTCTGGGAAGTACCGCGCCCTTGCACCCTGGAAGACCTGGCCCTTTACTATGTGAATTCACGACGTGTTCGCCCCATTGGAGTCAACCATGAATTCTCCCGTGAGTCAACCTCCTTTCCCTACCGCCCACTGCATACGGTTGCTCCTCGCCTACACGATGATGCCATTGGCCAACTGAAACTTCTGCGTACGGCCTGCCAAACTTTCCGGGGGAACTTCGATGGTTTTCTGAGTTTTCACCAGTCCCACCCCTGTCCGGAGCCTAGAGCAAAATATGCATCCCTTTGGGGAGGCGTGTGTTTGTGTGTGTGTGCCCCTTGTAGTCACAGGGATCCGTTCGGATTGTGTTTTCCTTTCTTTTTAGTGAGCAGGGGGCTCGTGGACGCATGGATGGCACGAGCCAACGAAGACCCATCCATGTCGTCGTGATACCAGACCTGATCAGCCTGGCGTACCTGCAGTTTTACTTGAGATACTTCATCATGGGCCTGCTTCAGGGTTGTTCAGATGACCACTTCTACGAGCTTTTGAAAATCACAATTGACAATGTAAAAAATAGATGAACTCTTAATCGCATGAAGGTTTGAATCAATATGTTTATGCTGCCACAGCCATTGCAAACAGCTGGGACGAGCAGGTCGACCTGAATCGAAGGGGCGAAAGGGGACGGACGGACTTCAGTGACTTCAGGGTTGAGGTGGGTGAGGTTTGGTCAGCGGATGGATGGGTTCTCAGAAAAGGCACTTGCCTCGGGTTGGAAAGAAACCCATGGGTGTGACCCATGCCCCCACAGAAAAACGCACCTAACGCACCGAACGAACGCTTTTTCGTTGGTGTTCGTTCCGAGATAAGATGTGGGGACGCTGCTGGGACGCTGCTGCCGTTCCGAGAAAGCCGTTGGCCCGGGGTCGATGGCAGCTGTGGAGACCCTCCACGAACGGATCTGAGATGAAGGCGAAGACCCCCCAAAGAGAAAGTGAAACAGAGGGACAATTTAAAGTAAGGTCAAACTTGCTTTGGTAATCGAAGACCCAACTGCATCCAACCTTACAATTGCTCCAGTGGTTGAGCCTTCATCCACTTGAGTCAGACAAGCGCAAAGCTTACAGAAGTGTTAGGTGCATCGCTAGCTCTGCTTTTGCAAGCGCAATGGTCCGGTCGCGCTGCATTTGCTTTGCACCATGTGGCGGGTCCTCACGACAGCTTGCAACCGCCGAGCCACTTGGCGATCTCTTTACCAATTGTATTACGAGAGCTATAGGAACTGTTGAATCATGGGCACCGGATTCCAATCTAGATCAAGGCTATTGGAAGCAGGAACCTTTGCCAAGACATGCAAAGACATCGTTTCTGCGCTGTCACATTGGCACTGGAGGTACGAGATCTTGGTGGAGCTGGATGTGGCCAACGAGATGTTCACTTCGAACCCTTGCGTGTGCAAGGCATGCAGTTCGACGTGGGCCACTGTACCGTCTGAAGTTGAGAGATTCGTGTCAGTCTGGAGCGGAGCGCCTGGGAATGTAATGAGGTTTGGTGGGTTAAATTGAGCTCAGACCCTCAGTGGGTAACCAATCTAATTTGTTTATCTTGGGCCATTCGGGCTGGTTGTCCTACACCAAAAACAAGAAAGCAAACCCCAACCCTGCCGAGTCTTGGAGTGCCCCTCCCCGTCGGTCGGTCGATGGCCCTTGCCTCTTTTTGGGGTCTTGGTTGATTGCCAGGTTCCGGAGTGCCCTCTCCCCTGGTCAATCGTTGGCCTTCATGGCTTTTTGTGGGGTCTTGACGGTTTCCGAATACGTAAGTTCATTTGAAAGCCTTATGTAGCTATGACTCTGACATGTTACATGAAAGTAGAAACCTTCATACGACTGTGAGGACAGTATAAACTAAAACAATGTCAGTGTCTTTTTAAGGCATCTAGATCATCTCTACCTTCGCAAATAAAATGTCGAAAGTTCTATGGTCCGTTTGGGGGCGCGGCTGGGTAAAAACATGGTGAGAACCACCAACCGACAACCAACGCGTCTGTCGCATCATTAGAAGAATTTAGCTCAACTTGGATTTGCTCAAGAAGCCCAGAAACACGGAAAATCAACCCAAGGCTAAAGCTAACTATAGTTAAAGACCTTCCCAACTCTTGTACCCTGTTCCTCACAGGCGCCCAAGGTTCGGCGACCATTTCGTTTTTGCACCAAAGCAGGGTTTTCATAACTAAACTACCGTTGTTTCCGGACTCGCGACTTGGAGATGACACAGGGGTGATGTGATGGGCTTGCTGAGATCCAGGGTTTTTCTCGATCTTTGTTTAAGAGCCCGAGTGTTGTGCTTGGTGTGTTCTGACAACAACCCTGCTTTGCACAGGGCTTTTCTTTGGCTTTGTTTAAAGGGTTCAGTAAGATTTTTGTTCTAGCATGCCCATCCTGTTTGATCCCAGACAACGCTTTCTTTGGGTGATTCTGTAGAAGGCCTGTGAACTTCTGAAGTCTGAAGATTCAAGTTTTGTTACGAGCTTCTTGACAAACCCAGCGGGGTTTTATATGGTTTTCCTATTTTTTTTGCTGTGGGTGCAAAATGAACCTATCGTTATGAATCTGGCATGGTTGTATTCTCTGCAAATGCCTCCTCCTCTCCCTTGAGGCCTTGGTTGCTTGCGGTAGGCGCCTATACCAGCGGCGCGTGCCTGGACTGAAGGAAGTAAACTGTCTATGGGGGAAGAAATGCTCGGATGCATTGCGGGAGCTGGATCGCCGCTGGGCATCATTGAGGAACGGGCGTCGGACTGACTGTCGGACGTGTCGACCTGTTGGAAAGACGAAGGGTTTTGGAAGACCCGTTGGTGTTGCATGCGCTCCGAGGATTGTGCCCGCAGTATCACTCC